GATATATATATATATATATATATATATATATATATATATATATATATGAATATTTTATATTTTCACTAATCCGCGTCGCCTTATTTTTACGAAATATTTATCTGGATTTACGTTGCGATTTGTGAAAGAACGGAATTATAGACACACATATAGCGAATCGACAAGCAGCAATACTCTAATTGCTTCTAATACGATAATATAATCTAATACGATAATATAATCAACTCATGGGAAAGGATGATCGATCGCGTTGTCGAAATTAATGTAAAAATAATAAAAAGGGAAACACACGCGGGAGTCGTCGATCACGCAAGGTATACGCTTTCGAAGCCGCGCAGTTGCGGAGCGAGTGCAAAATTGACAAATCGTCGTATTTAACGGTAATGTTTCGTTAGGTGGACGGTCGGCGCCACGATAGAGTCGCTGACAGTCATTTGTCACTAATGATCAATTACGCTTTACACACCTCGATTTGTCGGCGTTACGCCGCGCGGATCCGTTTTACTCTGGGACGATACGTTATTGCCGGGGCGCGCGACGCGCGAAACACGTCAGAAATTATTGCGGCGACCCACATCCGGGTGGGCTGACAAACTGTCGATGTTTCGGTCAGGTTGCAATTGAGCGCGTACGTTACAGTTTATCGTCAACAATTAATTACACACCCGTGCCGATAATGTAATGCAACGCGCGGTTCGCGCGAACGTGCCACCTTTTTCGCGTTCGCGTGCGAACGAACAAGCACGAACGATGCTTTTATTAAAATTTCTCCGTCAAGAGAATCTAAATTCACGGAATAGTCTGTTAAATTCCAAAGTGTCGCAAACCACGATTATTAAATATATACGTCGGAGGGAAACAATTCAGCAGTGAGAGAAGAGAATTATATTTTAACCTATCAGTTAAAATTCGGATTAAAACTTTGCAATTCATTTCGTAGCAATAATTTTTCTCATTTTCCCGTATGTGTTGCTTATTGAACTTTCCGATGAGTATTTTCGTAAATCTTTTAGAGTCGACAGCAATTTGTTCTGAGTTCATCTAAGTACGCAAAAATTCTTGCGTTTGACGCTTGCGAATTCACAAATTCAATCTAGCTCATTCATGTGTTTACTTACTGTCTGTCGAGTATTTTACTTGGACGAGACACTGTTATGGGCGGGTTAGCATCGAGAAGAGGGCAGGAAACTACACGGAAGAAAATGCGGAACTCTTATCCCAAATTGTTGCGCATTGGGGCTGTCCCTCGAAAACGCATAAAATGCATGTCTGTCGTGGTGCAATTGTGTGCACGCTACACGTACATGAGTCGAATTTGCATTTATTCAATGATTTCTTTTCATAGTGGACTCCTTTGGTCTTTCAGAAAATTCTCACTGTACATATAGTCGCACAAGTCGCAATATATTAGAACATATGTACATGTAGTGAATAATGCGTATATCATGGAAATCAGCGTGTGTTTAAGAAGATTGTTCAGAATGATAAAAAAAAAAATCACAATTTTATAGATTTCTAACTTTTTAATTTGAATTATTACAGAAATAGCGATAAAACGCGATTAGCTTTTTTATTGCACATTGCTAATAATAAGTATATTTTCCACGCGTATTAATTGTTTTCAGATACTTCTTGTTGGCATAGATTTTAGATATATTCATCTAAAAGTTCTCCCTATCTCGAGGATATACAGCTTCCAAATCGATTTTATATGGTCCCAATACGTAGGAGTTACAAATATTTCTGAAGACATTAAGTACGTCGTATTTCACGAAGTCTATCGATGAAATTTAAAGCCTTGTAAATATTTCCGTGGTCGTTTTCGATGACCTTTTTTTTTGAATTTTTTACAGTAATTTTTACGGTCTTGGACACCTTGCATGGTAGCTTTATAGGTATACTTATTTCACTGAGGTTGATACTTTTTCCCCGCTTTTAATCCAACACGGAAAACTACTCAAGTTTTTTTAAAGTGAGATAAACCGTTTGAACCATTTC